TTCCAGATCCTCTTTTGTTGCCAGTTCAGGGATTCCAGGTAGTTGAGTATCAGATTGTTCCATCTCGTTTTCCTTTGGGGTTGCTTTAGGTGATTTGGAAGTCTGGTTTTGAGACTTATTTACCTGTCTTCTCATTTCAATGGCGGCCAGTAAGCAAGATATGTGATGATGGCACCTGCATGGCTCACCTCGTCAGAGCTGGGGGGGCGGGGTATGGTTGCCCAGAAGGTTCACCTCCACTGCGCTGGGGGCACCTCTGCTCCTCTGCACTGGGGCCAGTGGTATGGCAACCTGGAAGGTTCACCTCCTCTGCAAAAACTATATCAAAATTAAAAGCTTCTGGATATCAAAAGGACAAAATTAGGAGCGAAGGATTTAGCTCAGTGGGTCCAGCACCTGCCTCACAAGCACAAGGTCCTGAGTTCAATCCCTGGTACCAGAAAAAGAGAAAAGAAAAAGAAAAAACTCAAAGTTTAAGGTGATGGGTGTGCAAATTTACCCTGATTAGATCATAACACAATGTATGAATTGCAATATCACATTGTACCTTATAAATACATTATAATTATTATATAACCAATCAAAATACTAAATATTTTAAATAGGTTTATATGTTGATGAAATATAAAAATCTTGCACACAGTTTTAAAAAGACACAATTAAAATAAAATGACAACCTACTAAGTGGGAGAAATTATTTGCAAATCTTATGTCTGATAAAGGATAAATAACAGAATAAAGAACTTGTACAACTCAACAAAAATAACCTAATTTAAAATGGCCAAAAGACTTACACGGTCATCTCTTGAAAGATAGTCATAAAAAAGGCCAACAAGCATATGAAGAAATGTTCAACACCACTAATCATTAGGAAAATGCAAATCAAAATTACAACATGATCTCACTTCACATATATTAGGATGACAGCAACAAAAAAAAGCAGAAATTATTGAGTCCTGGTAAGGATTTGGAGATATTAGAACCTTTGCACACTGTTGGTGGGAATGTAAAGTGGCATGACATATGAAAAGCTGCATGACTATTCCTCAAAAAATAAACAGAATTATCATCTGATCCAGTAATCCTACTTCTAGGTATATATTCAAAAGAATGGAAAGCAATATCCCAAAGAAATATTTGCACATCCATGTTCAAAATAGCATTATTCACAATAATGAGAAGTCTGAGTAACAAAGTGTCTATCAACAAATGACTGCATAAGCAAAATATAGTCTATACATAAAATGAGATATTTATTCAGCCTTAAAAAGGAAAGAAATTCTGACACACACTGCACTATGAATGATCCTAGAGGATATTATACTAAATGAAATAATCCAGTCATAATAAAACAAATACTGCATGATTCCACTTACATGAAGAAATATCAAGCAGTCAAATTGTAGAGACAAAAAATAGGATGGTGATTACCAGAGGCTGTGGGGAGGGGAGAGTGGGAAGTTGTTTAATGGGTATAGAGTTTCAGTTTTGCAAAATGACAAAGTTCTGGAGATCTGTTACACAACAGTGTGAACACACACACACACACAATTCCCTTTTTATTTCTGATTATATGTTCTTTAGATTCACTGCTGTGAGGAACCTAGCCTTCTGCTGCTGACAGACAAAAAGCAGACCATATAATGATGAAAACCACCCTCAGAATCCAGCGTAACATCATTTCCAGCAGCAACAGTAGGAAAAACAGAAGTATAAAATTAAATCTATCAGCCATGCCCAGAAGAGAGAAACAATAAAAAGATACCTATAATTGCTGAAGTATTGATTATTATATGCACAAAGTGTATCATAGAAGCATGAAGAGAGAGGTTAATAAGGAACATAGGCTGAAGGTGTCAGGAAAGAACTCCTGGAGGAGTTAACATAGACACTGGATCTTGAAGGGGGCATAGGAATTGGCAGAGAGAGAGAGAGAGAGGGACCAAGGGAGACAAAGAGGTCTGAATTATGTGGTGGGACAGGTTAAAGAACATTCTATCATTTACGTTATCACTTCATTAATTCAAGAAAGTCAGTGAATGTCAAATTAATGCAAAAGCTAGGATCTCATCTTTTGAAGTCCTAGTATACTGCCTAGAGGACTTAAGACCACTCTGGATACATGTGGATGGCAAAGGAACCCCTACTGAGTTGACTAATCCCAACTACACCTGCTTCAGCCTAATCTTACTTAGGAATTGGCTAGGGGTGTAGCTCAGCAGTGGAGCACATGATTAACATACATGAGCCTGAATGTCCCACCCCAGCACCAGAAGGGAAAGAAAAGATACTGGCCTTGCTCAGAAACTACTCTGCAGAACAGCCAGAGTGTGGAAGGCCAGTTTAGCACGCCTGCCTTCATCCATACCTCTGAGCCATGGCTCCATACTGGCAGTAACAGAAGTTCCCAGAGGATCCAGGAATGACACAAAACTGTTTCTTTTAAAAAATGAAAAGCACCCAAGATCGAGTATGCAGAATGCTTGTGCAGCTATAATCTCAGCAAACATCTGCCACCTTTGTGTGGCAAACGCAATCTCTTTAGAATACTGCCTTTGATTTCAGGGAAAGACAAATCAGGACGCATGTTTTGTTCTGAATGTGTCTCATCACAGGAGGAAATTTTCAGCAGCTTGGAATTTTGAATGTATGAAAAATGGAGTTTTTTCAAACAAAGAGTTCACGATAAAGAATCAACAAGGTTCCTGAAAGAGATGAAACCAGTTCTCTATTCCTGTCCCTTTCCCCTCCCATGTATCATCTTTTTCTGGATTCCTTGAGCTGAGTTTCATCTATGAGAGTCATGTATATGGCCATTTTCAGATCCAAGGTAGCAGCCCTTCTGCCTCTGTAGGAGAGATTAGGGCTGCCAGTGGCCTGAGTCACCACTCTACACAGAGAGAGCTGCAGAATTAGCCACTGACTCTTCTCTCCTGGTGTGTGGCACTCACCAGATATGTTTACAAAGCATAAGAATGGAGAGGTTTGCCCTTCTGGGGAGTGTGCCTGAGATGAACCCCTCGCCTTCTCAGCCCAGCAATAAGGTGATCAACTGTCCTAGCTTTCCTGGGATGTGAGACTTTTAGGAGAGTCCCAAGCAAACCAGAACTGTTGGTCATCCTGTGTCTTCCAGATCTAGCACAGCCTCATTATGGTAGGAATACGGACTGAAGTCATCAAAGGTTGGAATGTATTCTCTGGAAACATATACAGACTGATTCATTAAACACAATATTCTTAGAACTTCATGAGATCATTAATCAAGAGGCTTCTGATTCTAATTTAGTCCTCCATCAGCACTGTGGGGTCCAGTAAAACTTATATAATAGGGTGATGGCAGGCAATGTCACCTAAATTGAATTCAGCTTCACATCTATTTCGTAAATATCTCCATCACTTCACTTTTTCTCTCTAACAGGCAACCCATAAACTTAGTAGCTTAAAACAACTGTCATTTGCTTAGCTCATGATCCTTTGGACCAACAGTTTGGGCCAGGTTCCGGTAATCAGTGCTTAGCTATGCTCAGGCATAGCATTTGGGGCAGCTGCTTGGTCAGCTGGGGCCTAGCCAGTGGAAGATGGGCTTGGCTGAAAGAGCTTGTTTTGCCTCCACATGGCCTCACATCATCCAGCACTCTATTCGTTCACATAAGAGCTGTTCACAAGAAGCCACAGTGTCTCAGAGCACCAGGCCTCTTAAGGCCGAGGCTCAAAAACTGGTATAACATTATTTCCACAACATTATGTTGGCCAGAAAGCTGATCACAGGGCCAGACCAGATTTATGGGATGGGAAACTAGACTTCATCTTTTGATACCAGGAGCTTCAAAGATATAGTTCAAATGTGCAAAGATACAGGAGAGGATGGAGAACTGAAGCAACTTTTTGCAATTTACAATTTCTTCCAATTTATTTCATAAACCACATAAGCAAGATATTTTCATAGCTATAACAATCTGCTGTCACATTGCTATCCTTCCAATCATTCAAGACAGAAATCTTGGAGTTTTCCCTACCCCCCTCTTTCCTCTCCCCCCACATCCAATTAGCCACCAGAACATGCCACCTCTACCATCTAAATATATACCATGTTGTTTCCCGTCCCTCCGTAGCCACTCCTGGACCTAAGTCTGGGGACTGATAGCTGCAGCCTAGGACTATGGCGTTAGTCTCCTAATCATGTTCCTTGCCTCCAGCCTCATTGTCTCCAATCCACTCTCTTCCCTATAGCCAAGGTATCTTTCTAAAGCTTACATTTGAGCGTGTCCCTCCTTTGTGCTACTGAATAGCCTTCATTAGCCCTTTGCTTGCTGGCCAATCCTATCTACCAAAGCCTCTCTCTTCTCATCTCCTGACAATACCCCTACCATGTCAAATGTATTCTGGGAACAATAAACTATTTGGCTTTTTCTAAACATGTCATACTTTTTTATCCTTTCAAAAATGCAGTTCAACCTTCTGTGAATATTTCCCAATACCTAGATATCTTGGATCTTAGCAGTTAGACTTAGACTCACCTGAATGTCTGGAGTAATGTCCATTTGTCCATCCTGTTTCCATGATTGAATCTCCCCAAAGATAATGCAAATCATTCATTAGTCAATAATCTAATTGATGAAAACAACAACAATGAAATTAACTAATAAGAGAAATCAAACTTATAGCTTGAATAATAAAAAGATATACTCTATCCACACTTCTTAGGTTTTGAAAATAGCTATAATGGTAGCTAGGGTAAGCAATGGATGGCAGAATTAATTAAAGAGTCCTTCTAGACTTGTGGTATGTGTCACCCAGCTAAGCCCACAAAAGAGAAGCTTGAAAGCTAGTGATCACCATCATCATTGTGGCCTCAGCCTCAATCCCCTTCCCATGGGGACAATCAACTGCAATACCTTCCCCACTAAACTCCTTCTCTTTGTCTTCCAACCATCTGCTCTCCACATAGCAGCCAGAGGTATCTTTTGAGGTAACAAATCAGTCAAATCAGTCTAATCAGCTCCCTGGGCAGTTCATGCCCCCTGCTTTAAAGCTTTCAGTAACTTCCCAGCATACTTAGAGCAAAATTTTTCATAGCCTAAGAAGTTCTACCTGATCTGGTCTCTGTAGCCTCCACAGTCTTATCTCCTATCGCCTCCCCTCGGCTCTTTGAGCCAATACCCCAACCTTTCTTCTAGTCCTCAAAAATGCATCCTTAGGACCCATTCATTGCTGATTCCACAGCTGACTCCATTCTCCATTCTCCTACTGCACTTTACAGAACTGACCAGCTCATCCATCTGGTGCCCTTCAAATGCCATTCCTTAGACAGGGCTTCCCTAATGTCATCAAAACTTACCTTGTTATTTGCTTCCTTGACTATGACCTGTTTCTCCAAATGGAATGAAATCTTCATGGGAACTGAGACCTCATCTGTCTTATTCTGTGTGTACCTTTAGCATCAAAAATCGTATGCTCTGTAAGGCCTGGCTAAATGAATCAATAAATAAACAAATGACACTATTAAAAATTATCAAAAACAGATATGCAGTATTGATCAGATGAGAATAAAGATAGATACCACCTCCAACTCAATAGACTGCTTCCTGTGACCCCTGTGTGAGAGAGACAGAACTTGCCCAGCCTAAGAGACTTCTCTCTGAAAGGGGACATTGCCTCAGGGTCTATGTGAAACTCTTTCAAACTGGCATTTCATTATAGCTCCTTTACAGAATTGATAAATAGAATCAGGTTTACCTCTTATTGAGAAGACCACATTTTCTCACTCAGATAAACCTTACTAGAGAGGAAAGGAATGTAAGTGCCTTGACCATGGCCTGACCAAAAATTGACAACAGAGAAATTAAACTGGAAAAAGTGATGAGTTTCAAAATTGGTTCTCTAGAGACCTCAGAGTTGGAGGGTTGCACATATCCATCTACTTGCCTCTCATCATCTACACAGAATGATCAAAAACAAGTAAGCGTTTACTTTTTTTAAGAATTTATTACAATTAAAGATGTATTGCTTTTAACCCATTTCAAATTATTGCCCCTCACTTCAAACACACTTATTCCATCATTCTTGACACTTCTAGTTGTGCCACTGTGGTTGCCTTGATGTTCTGAATTGGTTCAAAATAATTACCTTTCATTGTCATTTTGACTTTGGGGAAAAGGCAGAAGTTTCATAGTGCCAAATCCAGTGAATAAGGTGGATAAGGATACACAGTAATGTTTTTATGAGCCTGCTTTTCTGTTGGATAGCACGTGACAGCAACATTCACCCAATTTTGATCATGCCTCCTAAAGACAAGAAAGAGGATTTCAAGAACTCCTTCAGAAAGTAGCAAGAATGATGAGATGTATTTGAAGCAAGAAAGAGTATTTTAAGGAGGATAGCAGTATGTCCTTTATTGTAATACATTTTTTAAATTTTAAACATTCACCATTTTTCTATCACACTTCATACACTTAGATGAAGTGAGTTCTCCTACTACAACTACTAGCCACTTCCTCTTCATTCTTCTTCTGAGAATAGGCTCTGGAGCTCAACTAAACCCAAAGTCAAGTTCACCTTCTATTCCTTCCTCCCATCCAACCTCACCCTTTGTCAGCAACCTTCGTGTCTCTGAGGGGGACACCATCCTTCCAGTTACCTTAACCCTAACCTAAAACAAACAAACAAAAAAAACCCTAAGTCTCTTGACAATGTGTTTGCCTCAACTCCCACATCCTCCAAAAGCTCCCCGTGAGTCATGGCCCCCACATCCACTACCACCACTGAGTACAAACAATATCTCTTTCTGGGCAATCTCACTTGTCTCCCCACATCCACTCAAGCATCCTTCATTCTTCCCATAGCAACTGAAATATTTGAAAATAAGATAAACCAAATTATATCCCATAGCTTCTTAAGACCCTTCTATGCTTTCCTTTTTCTTAGAATAAAAACTAAATCCTTACCCTAACCTACACAGTCCCTGCAGTCCACACGGCCTCCCTCCAGCCTGTTTTATATCTTATGGGCCTCCAACTTCATGTTCTAATCTGATGACCTTCTTTTAGTTCCAACTGTCCACCAAAACCTTGCACACACTGTTGTCTTTGCCTAGAACATTCTCCCACTACCAAGCACTAGCCACCTCCTATCCATTCTTCAAATCCCAGCTGGTTTCACTTCCTCAGGAAAGTACTCCATGACTATACAGCATAGGTCAAATCCTCCCAAGAACTACTTTTTTTTCTTCCTGAGCAATTACATCTATTTATAACTATGGACTCATTGGTGTAACTATATGACCAACTCCCACCAAACTGCAAACTCCAAAGAGCTGGAACATGTTTCCTTCTATGCTATCTTGTCTACAGGACCCAGGACAGAGTAGCTAAAATCATCAAATGAATGGATGAATGAATGCATTAATCAACCAATGAATAAGAAATACCTCTTCTGTGGGGGTGTGCTCACCCTTCAACAGCTGGCCATGGTTCCATATCTAATAATCCTCATGAGATACAGAAGAACTGAATGAGCTAAGAGAGAAAAGTGGAAAAAATAAACTGAGCTATTGAAAGATTAAAAACCCTATGCTGAAACCAGTCATTATTTCCGTCATTTGCAAGGGCCTATTATAATTTACATATTTCTATAACAAAGAAATGTTTAATTGACTCCCAATCCTTTCTAAACGGATGACACCTTCTCTTTTTAGGAATTTTAGGTTATGCCTTGGATTCCTTCGAAATTGAAGGACATTAGTGGACATCATGGAGAGGGGAAAAGAGGCTGAGTTTGCTATCACTACTTCACCAAAAAAGAAGAGACCTGATAAGATCTAACAGATGTCCCCAGCCACTTGCTTTCCTCATTATTTCTAAGAAAGAAAACACACACACAAACACACACACACACACCAGGCACACACACTGTTGAGAAAGAAACAAAACCATTCAGACCACCAAGTCAAATGATCTTGAATGACCTAGCCATCAGCTGATACAGAGTCAACTTTGCTGCATCCTGCTAGATGCTGGAAACACAGGAGAGAGTGATCTTCAGGGCCTAAGGCCTGTGCTTTTGGACTTACAGTGTGTTGGGGGCTGTGACTGAACAGGCACTCACATCATGCTGCTAACCAAGCTGAGAGGGAAGTGCAGGGGACTGGGATAGCACAGAGAAGGGACACCTGACCTGGCCTGGAGGTCAGCAGAGATTTGCCAGAGGAACTGAGAGCAAAGCTGCTTCACAATAACCCTCAGAGCCTTGGCTTCCTCATACCCAAATGGAGACAATGAGTCCCATCTCCTGGACCTCCCAGGGTGGTAAAGACTATTAAATTTTAAATAATAATGATGCTTGTTAACACTCAGTGAACACTTATTTTGTGCCAGCTATTGAAATATGTGCATTTCTGGCATTTACTTGTTAAATCTTCATCACATCTCTAAAAAGTAGGTATAAATATCCCCATACCATGAATGAGTAAGCTAAGGGTTAGGGAGTTAAGACACATACCCAAGTTGCTTATAACGCAGTTCTATCTAACACCATGCTTTAAGATATGGCATCCTGCCACCTCCCGAATTTGGTTATGAAAACCTCTCAGCCCTAAATAAACCATCAATGAATTTCAGTTCCCTTTCTGCCCTTGCTCCCTTCACCTCCTTCCTCTGTAGAAGAATAAATACAACAAAGATCTCAGAGTTATGTGACTTTCACTGGCCTCTTTGGATTCCTTGAAGTCAGGTTTGAAAGTGCCTAGAAAGAAGGAAACCAGAATATTGAAAATTGTTTCCACCTCAAGAACAATAAACCAAATTCCTGAGTCCATCCATGACCTCAAACCTCACCCAAGGGAAATCCTTGAGAAAAAGCCTCCAAATTCTGTTAACCCTGGTCCTGGAGGTCACTAAGTTTAAACGCTGGTTACAAAAGCATTCCAGTTATGCAATCTAAAAATTAGTCAAACCTCCAAGGTGCTTGGAGCATGGCCTCCTTGGAGTTCTGTAGCTGGTGTTCCACGAGACGCAGCTGTAGCTGCTCCCGTGCTGGCCCCTTATGAGAACTTTGCACCATCCCACCCATTGACATCACCAGTTGCCCCAGCCCTGCCTTCCCCTCTTCGACCTTTACTGTATTCCAAGGTTTGACTCCATAAAAGACGTGCTTCTTCACCTGATTAATTTATTCATTGACTCATATTGGGGGCCTACTATGTGCCAAGCCTGTGTTCATGCATTTGTCAATTCTCTAGTGTGCTAATACTGAGTCTGACTGCTAAGAAAATCAGAGAAGGAGCTCTGACTAATTGAAGAAGGAGACCTGAGAGCTTTATTCACTCACTGTAAGCATGTGCCTCCAGATGTCTGCCAGCCTCCTCCTTCCACTTCATTTTGAAGCTGCAAAAGTCAGAGTCAAAGGACTATGCTGCTAAAGTCAATGGGATGGAGGCCCTGCTTTCTTCAGCTCAGTTCAGCTGAGAACAATCAAGATCAGCTCCTGGGTCAACCCTAAGACCAACAAGAGATTCTGTCCCCAGCAAGTAGGGCCTAAGCTTGCTTTTTCTCTTGCAATAACAATAAAACTTGGCAGTTACTGGAACACATGGAGCCCTTGTCCCCTCAGATATCTTTGAGAATTAGTATCCAGGCCACACTCCTTGTCCTGACCTATATTCTCAGCTGCTCTGTCCTTTAACCCCTAGAAAAATGATCATGTACATAGGCTTTGTAGTCAGCCAAACTTGTGTCCATAGCAGAATTCTGTCTACCTTGGTAAATTTTGACAAATTGCTTCACATGCTTTATCCTCAGTTCTCCCACTATAAAATAGGCATAGTAATAGTAGTTGTATATGCTTAAAAATGTTGATTTAATGATAAAATTACTTCTGACAATTCAGTCCAGAGAAAAGTTTTTATGGGGTATCCTGTACATTGTAGGACCTTTAGCAGAAGCTTTGGCTCCTACCCACTAGAGGTGCATCCCCCTCACTTATGGCACGTAAGTACCTCCAAACACTTCCAAAAGTCTCCTGACATCATTCCTGCTTGCAAACCCAATTTGTTTAACCCAATACCAGAAAAAATGGTGTATGTTTAATTAATGTCAACCACTATTATTTCTGGCAACTAGAATATAGGTTATTTAGATGGCCTCTAGCTTTGCACAAATATTGTCTGCTCAATGTCCTGTGGTTTATTTCTGATTCTAATTCCCTGTGTACTAGCAGAACCCTCACACAAGATATCTGGAATTATAGTAAAATCAGTAGTATGACAATGTCTATATATGTTTTTTATGCTTTTCTGACCAGATAACATCTGCTCCTTTGGGAATGTCATAAGGAAGAGAACTGGAGGGGGACAGTAGAATCAGGAAGAGAGTGTTCAGAGGTAGGTAGTTTGGAGCTCAGAAAGATAATAAAAATCAATATTTAGAAGATTTGAGAGCACTACGTAGATAATAGCATTCAACCAATGCAATAAGACATGAAAAGAAATAAGGATGGTGATATACTATTAGTATTATATATGAGGGACTCATAATACCTTAACTGTAAATGTACTCTGAAGATCAAATGTGTTAATAAAGATAAAAATACCTAGCCCATGTAGGCCCTCAACAAAGGTCATTTAAAACTGTCATTCAGTTTGACTTATTTCTTGCTGGGTCAGACTAAATTGGCTTAGCAGCCTAGAATGTCGAAGTTCAGAGGGATTGTTGATATGACCCAGCTCCTCATTTTAGATCAAAAGACATCTACACAGAAAAGGAAAGTAGAATGTACAAAGTCACACTGTGTTAAATAGCAAAGCCTGGGAATAGAACTAGATTTTCCCAGTGATTGAAATGCATATAGATATGCACACTTAAAATGACTCCATCCTTAGCTAGCCCATACTTAGATTACCTTGGGGTTAGATTCAGAGGCTAAGTAATTATGAGCAGATGCACCTGAGTGATATGATCTTAGGTTATCCCTGCCTGTGTCCTTGGCATACTGCAAATTATCTTCCTACCTCCTCTTCACTCTACTTTCCTTGCTCCTGGCCATGCCTCCATTTTATATACTATTCTCCTCTCCCTGATCTCCTCCCCACAAAGTCTGGCCAAGCTTTTTCAATACTACCCAGTACCATTTGATCCCATGAGAGTAGCCTGACTTCTGATTGATTTAACACTGTCTTCTTGACAACTAATTTGTATGAAGTACTTACTATGTGCTAAAAACATTAGATGCATTACCTGTCTGTACAGTAATGGTCATTATAACTGTCTTCATTTTACAGATAATGAAACTGAGGTTCAGACAGGTTTTTTTGTGGGAAAGGAAAACTACAGCATTAATGAGATAAAATTAAAGAACTAATAATCAAAACTCTAGTTGTGACACATAGTTGTCCTAGAAGATTAGGTAGATGTGACTGAATTACTGGAGATAGGGAACTAGTTTATTATGAAGGCCCAAAGAAAGGTAGTGGGGGTGAAGGCCTCCTGAGAAGAAAGCTGATCTCCCAGAATTATGCTTTTTCCCTTGTGTCTGGTTGATAGTGTCAGGAGAATGGGAAATGGGATGGTAGTAGTGCTGAACTTCCTGATAAGGGTAATTCACAGGCAGACATGTCTCTTGCCCCCCTCTGGCACTCCCAGAAGCCCATATCCTACTCCGAGACCAGGCTCATAACACTGTAAGGCTCTTATTTGTCCTCACCCTCTCGGTCTCTAAATCAGAGGTGAGGTGGAGATTATACCTGTCTTGATGCCTGATGTCCAGCTCCTGACCCATTTCTAACGAACCCATTTGTGGACGCATCCAAAGCCATGACCTACTTCCTACAGGGCTTCTCCTCAGACATGCTTCCCTGTGGACTTTCTTGTGTTCTAGTGTTCCTGCACCCTACAGCCAGCAGCACCACTACTTCTGGACAGCTCCACCCCACCCAGCCTTCTCCTGGTGTTGACCTGGACTCCACCCTATCTTTTCCTCTCTCAGCCCAAGTCTTCTGACTCTTCCTGATCTGGCCCAGAAATGTGTCTCTGACATGTGGATCTTTATAACAACTGCTAAAAACTTGACCCAATTTCTCTTCCTCTGAAATACTCAACTCTCAATAGTGCAAATCTGTTCACATCAGGTGTGATTGATTCTCATTTCTTTTAGTGTAGAACCCATTCCTCATAAGCTGGGTGTCCTACCCTAAGCTGAATCTGTCCTGGATTTCCTCTACTAAATGAGTCTAGGGAAGATGGGATGCTTAAAGCTAAACACTAATGCTTGAAACATTTGATCCTATGCTCAATAACCCTTAGGTCTTAGAATCTTAGATCTAAATGGGGACTTAATCAACTTCTCCCCATAAAACTCTCTTTTCTTGATTTCTGCCAATGAGAGGGAACTTACAGTGTCAAGAGCCAGCCATTCTGTTGTGTGAAGGACTTCACTGTCACAGAGTCCTAGAATCTGAGATTCAGTATATACCCAGAAGATGATGACTTTCTACTCAATGAAGATAAAGTTCTGCAACAAACCCACAAATAGCATAATTAGCTCTTTGGAAATATCTACTCTTTGATGAAATTTTGTTCTTTAACGTAAATGCAGGCTTTTGCCTATTCTCCAAATAAATATCTTCCACTATACAAAATATGGCTGGTTTCTAAATTGTGCCACCAATTTTTTTCTTTCCAATCAAAAATTTGAATCTACTTGCCTAAGAGTACAGGCTCTAGAGCCAGAATGCCTAAGTTAAAATGCCATCTCTGCGATTTATGAGCTGTGGAAAGATGGCTGAATTACTTAAATTCTATGAGCCTCAGTTTCCCTATTTGTAAAGATAATACCTACCTGCAGCTATTAGGACTAAATAATATAATAAATATAAAATGTTAAGTATGTTGTCCAACACAATAAATGCTCTATAAACATTGTCTTCTATTATTATATTATTATTATTATTATTGTCTATGATATCAATGATGACTTTTTTCTTGGAATCCCATATGGGATCAAAGCAGTACTGCTCTAATAGTAGTATGCAGGAATATCCCAGGGGCCCATTGCATATTTTCCTACTCCCCTTTTTTGATGCCTCCTCAGACACACCATTAAAATCTTAAGATTCTTCCCAGTGTAGTTTGAATACTAAAATCGGTGTGATAATTGAAATATTCCCCTAGGAAAGGCCAATTGCAAAAACACATGGAAAGTGTATCATTTTCTATTATTGCTGCAACATACTAAATGGCTTAGAAACCACAAACGTGGTATGTTGTAGTTCTATAGGTCAGACATTCAACACAAATCTTAATAAGCTAAAATCAAGGTGTCAGCAGAGCTGTGTTCCTTCTGGATGCTCTAGCAGATAATATGTCTCTTTGTTGTATCCAGCTTCTAGAATGTGTACCCACATTCTTTGACTTTCTCCATCTTCAAATCAGTAATGTAGCTTCTCTTAAACCCTGCTACCTTCATCATATCTCCTCTGACTCTTTAACCTGTATCCCTCTTCTACATGTAAAGACCCATGTAATTATACTGGTCCCATCCAGATAATCAGGGATAAACTATATTTTAATGACAACTGCTTAGTAGCCTTAATTCTATCTGCAACTATAATTTCCCTTCATCATGTAATCTAGCATAGCATAGCCACAGTTTCCAGATCTCAATATACAGACACCTTTAAAGGGCCAATATCCTGCCTACTACAAAGGTCACTAGAAGGCTCCTTGGAGATCTGTCTGGGCAAATCACTTAACATTTGAAGATGTAAACAGCCTATTCATCTCACTATGATACCTTTCATCCCCCTATTCTCCATCTTGTTCTGAATTTTAACATGAGAATCATTGACAAATGCCTTCTGCCTCAAGACAAACAGTCTATAAGGTTACCCAGACATACCAGAGATGGCCATCCTTTTAGGGTTATTCATTGCAAGCAACAGAAAATGGTTCTGGCTGATCTGTGCCTAGAAGGCATTTGTTTGTAGTTTATTTTGAAGCTCACAAAGCCTCTGGAAGAATGAAGGAGCAATCACAAGTAAACCCCCCACGTCAAGAACACCATCAAGACCAACCCCCCACATAATACTGTAAAATTTATCCGGGCAGAAGTTATTACTATCAACTTTCCAATCTGACTGGCAGGGACATGAGACTTTGTCTAAATGTTGCTGCCACTGCCACCCCTGGAAATTCAATCAACAGGGTTGATTATTAATCCACATTTGTATTCTTTAGCATTGTTTAAACCCAGCTTCATGCCATGGATAGTTGTCTCTGACTGGCCAAACCTAGAGCACCTCCCATTGCCCTTGCTGCAGGGAAGCCTGGGAAATTACACTATTTTAGCTTTATGGTGTTAGAAAGAGCCACAGCTCACCAAGAAACATAGATATTATTTGTCCAAATTATTCCAATTATACAGAAATGAAAAATAATATCCATGACAAATATCCACAATTCCAGTCTAGGAAGCTTATTTTTGGCGTGGGTTTTTTTTTGGGGGGGGGCACTGGGAATCAAATTCAGGTCCTTGAGCTTGCAAGGCAGGCCACGAAACCACTGAGTTAAATCCCCAGTCCTCAGGAGCTTATTTTTAAAAAGAGGAATAAGGATATTTTGTAATTATATATTAATAAACTTATTATACCACTAAACTGATTCCTTCTTTTCTAAGTGTGCACAACCCTTATGCCATTTTAAAAAATATTTCTAGTTCATTGCCAAAGACTGGCCTTGAGCCCATAAGTTCTAGAGCCCAGGTTTTGAAAATCAAACTAAGACTTGCCCAAGGGCCGGGGGATTTAGCTCAGTGGTTCCGGCTCCTGCCTCGAAAGCGCAATGTCCCGAGTTCGATCCCTGGTACCAAAAAAAAAAAGACTTGCCCATCCTCAACCCTCTGGCATTCCACTACTTCCCAGTCCTCTTTCCAAAGGAAACTGACAGATTCTACGAAGACTTGTGTAACCCCTGGGCCATATAATTTCTGTGAGATTGGGACCTGAATTAAGAGCAGAGGGTGTGGCTTCCATCTTTCTCCTATCTTGAGTTTTACTCTTTATGGATTAAAGAGCTTTTGACTTGATGAACTAAGCAATGTGGTGTCTTCTCCAGTAACTGTCAACATTATACCTACCATCATATCCAAGTTGTGCATCCTTTCCTAACACTTATTTCCAAACAGCTTGGTAAAACCCTCATTTTAATTTTCAGTAGTTTTTCAAAAGCCTTTGCTCTTCTTCAATTTAGACTTCCTGACACAGCTCTTACAAATGTAGGTCATTTCTCCAAGTGTTGTACTATATGCCCTTTCTTAATATTTGTTTAAAACTGGTGCCCATCAGAGATGATACTATGGAGTCACACTGTTCATTCATATCAGGAAAATACAATGGAAGGAACATGGATGTTAGAATCAGATCCACAGCAACTTGAATCTCACCTACATCTATCAGCAGTAGTGTGAGCATTACCTCTAAAATTGGGATAACCATGCCTATTTACTATCGTAGAGCCGCACAGCTGGGTATCTTTATGGCAGACCCTTGCAGGTCTGTTTTCCTTGAAGTTCTCTTGAGGATGTTTCCTTCAGTGAACATAGTTCTGTCTGTCTGAACTCCTGCTCTCTGCCTTGAATGCTGCTGGCACCACCACCCCTGGAAACTCAATCAATGGTGTTGATTCTTCCTCCATATCTGCATTCCTCAGCATCATTTAAACCAGCTTCAAGTCACAGATAGGTGCCTCTGACTGGCCAAACATGCTTTTGGAAAACAGATGGACCAATATCCACCAAACTGAGAGGTTAGTTGAGGTAGCTCAACATGAAATATAAGCTATACAGCATGCACAATAGTCTCTTGGGAGAGTGAGGACCACTGTAAAATGGACATAAATTCCCTAGGATAAATGGGGCCCTGAGCCAATTGTTTTGGTGGGAGTCTGTCAAAAATCAATTTAATTTAAAATTACAGAGCAAAATATGGCCCATGTGAGCCATAGTGATTTATAACGAAGACTTAGAGTAATGGGTCAAGAACAGGTAATAACACACATTTATTATCCAATCAGGATAGTGCACATGAAGATTTCTTCATAATGTCCAGCCACTGTCTCTTCCTACTCATTTCCAGGAACCATCCTGTGGCAGTTAATTCTATGTCAACTCTGCTGCACCACCGAATCCAGATATCTGGTTAAACATTATTTCTTGGTGTGTCTGGGAGGATGTTTCTAGATGCTATTAGTATTTGAACAGGTAGATGTGGGAAGGTAGATGGCTTTCCATAATGTAATTGGGCATCATCTGGTTCTTCTGAGAGTGTACATAGAATTAAAAGGTGCAGAAAAGAGGAATTTGCCCTTTTCCTTCCTGCTTACATGATTAACCTGGGACATTAGTCTTCTCCTGCTCTTCAACTGGGTCTCAGGCCTTAGAACCCTGGCTGGGATTATACCCCAGGCTTCCTTGAGTCTTAAGCTTGCAAATTATTGGAACTTCTCAGTTTCCACAATCATGTGAACCAATTCTGTGTGCGCGTGTGTGTGTGTGTGTGTGTGTGTGTGTGTACAGAAATATGTATCTTTTTATGTACTTATTTTCAAGTGCACTGTTTCTGGCTAGTTTTATATCTCCCACTAAAAAGTAACTAGGCTGTATTTACTCGCATGTCATTTCACAACCTACTTGTTTGGAAACAATACAGATCTCTGACATGTGCAGTCCCTTACTAGCATTTTTAGTGCCAGTTACATCATTACTCATGGTTCTGTGTCACCTGTCACACTATCTTTGAATACCAGCTCCCAGTGACTCAAGGGTTGTTACTGAGCTTCACTGATGAAGACCACAAATGCAAGACTTACTAAGAGTATGTGGGAAATGGTGAATAATTCATATTCTAGTTATGTCAAATTTACCATTCAGCATCTTATAACCTACACATAGAAAAATCTATCTTCTGTGTTTAGAATTTTTTCTGCAATAATCATTGGATTTCTATAAAGTGATCTCTTTCATTGTTGGCTATACAGCTATCTTCTGCTCATAGCTATCAATGGAAGCACCAGAGAGCAGCTCATAATAAAAGCAAGAAGAGTGGTTCCATGCACCCTAGAAGGTCTGTACTTTGCTCATACAAATTAAGACCAACCCAGAAGAGCATACGATATAGCCATCAGAAGCAAGAGAGGCCATCACTATAAAGGTCCCATTGCCCATCTCAGAAACCCTTGGAATTGATAATCATGGCCTCCTCTGGAAGATATTGGAATACACTCTGAGCCTTGGTGAGGAACCAGTTCAGGAGCTTACCTGACCACCCCAGGTCACAGCAGTGAAAACTACACAAAGAGAGAGAAAGAATGGTAAGGGATCATAGATCAGCAGAGTCAAGTAGAAATGTGCTGGAAGACTGGGCCAACTAAGCAGCAGGAACAACTGGAAAGGTGAGGAACTTGGAAAGAATGCACATCTGAGAAACATCAAGTGTTCTCTTGTAGCTGAGATAACAA